TGCTCGAGCACTTTGTAAAAATGTAAATCCTCTGTCCAATTAAATTAAGTGGAACACCTTTAGGGGCAGCATATTTTCTGCTTTGGTTTATCCAGCAACAATATTTTATATGCATCATTTTGTATCCATGTCAACATCCTGCAGACCCAGCTGTTCGTCCCACTGAGCAAACTTCAAATTGGACTAGTTACTTACATTAGAGGCCATGAAAACAATCCCAAAGGAAGCTTCTGCCCACCCTTTTAAAGCTCTTTCTACTGAAGCTCAACGTTTGAGAACTCTTGGTTTATTTTCCAAGGCACAAAACCTGGTTGTAGTCCAGGTAACGACAGTGTTGGTTTTTGGTCAGTGGTCCAGTCTGCAGCTGGCAGCAGCTCGGTCGGAACCGGCCCAAACCCTGGATCTTATCTTCAAGGGGAGATATACCTGGAGAATCTTTGAACTGTTTCAACTATGGCAACTCACTTACCTTTCAAACAGCAGTGTTTCATTAAAACAGTGAAGCAGTGATTCAGTTTTAACTTGATTTAAGCAGAGAAAATGGTACAGGCACAAGAATCATGGGTGGCCGCGATGGCTAAGCTAAGACCCCACTTCCCTAGCGGTGGGAGATGTTTGATTGTTTTTACCCATGATTAATCAATTTCCCTCTGGGATTAATAAAGTATTTTTGAAATTGAATATTTGAATTTGAAGAACACAAAACCGGGCCTGAACTTCCTGGGTTGTCTCCACAAAGTAACCAGCGCTTTAGCTGACATAACCTAAAACCACGTTAAGTTTTGGTATCTTCCTATTGTATGAAAGACAAGACTGCATGCCACGTCTTATTAACAGATTTAACAGATTTCACTCCACCCCCAAACAGCTTCAACAGGTACCACCAACTCCACCACCCCCAACCACCTCCACTCAGTCAGCCAATCCCTCTCCATCTCCAACCCTCCTCAGTACCACTCACTCCCCCCTCTGACCAGGTGAGGAGAGAACTGAGGTGACCTACATACCCCCTTAACCCTCTGAAGACAGGTGTTGCAGATGTGCAACGTTAAAACCTACCTACCTGGTTACTCCACATACGTATTTCATGAGCATTTTTTAAACACAGAAGTACCCCTGAAGGACTTATTTGTTCGTCCTTTTAGGGTTAATGTGGAAACATGATGGCGGCATCTGGCGCTTCACTTATGCTACGTGATTCCAAACATTTGTCCAGGCAGCAAGCTGGATAAAAAATTATGGGTTTCGAACACTTTTTCTTTGCTATCAATTTAGCATTTTTAAAAGCACAAATAATGGTTAACTAGCACACCACCAATCAGTGGACACGGATAATTTTCATCACAGCACATAGCAGAAGCATGTGAGGAGAAGTTCAGAGATGTTGCATTGGTATGTTCCATCTGAACAGCCTCTAAAATACCCTGAGAAACCTACAGAACTTCCCCCACCCTCAGTGCGCAACAAACATGAACTATTATAGCCTAGTAGCACATTTCTTTTTTGCAAAATAAAGTTTTAGTTTAATCCAATCAGTTGCACGTATACTGTACCAAATCGCTCCACATAGTGTCTGTTATCATTTCTGGAACCGAAACAAATGAGTTTTGAAGGTAGTACTGACACCCCCACAACATTTGGGTTAGAAAGTCTGGTCTGAGCAAATGTACTGCTACTAGCTGTACTTCAGTTGGGGCTGGGGCGGGTGGCTTTATTGGGTAAAACACCAGAAAAGAAGCCTTGTCCAACTCCAAAGTAGCACTGGAACTTCTCTGGTAAAAAAGGAAACACGTCTCTGTCCATAAACCAAAGGGTGACCCCTTTAACCTCGTTTAGTGTGATGGAAACCTCTTAAAAGTTTTATAATGTGAGACTTGAGTTTCTAATTACATTAAATGACTTGGCTGGAAATGGGATCTGAAAGCTGATAGACTGGCTGATAGTACTGTACTGTGGCCATGCCCTTCATTAGCACACACACACATGCAGAAGCAAACATGAACCAGGACTGCTCACACTTCATGGAAATGCATTTAGATCAGCCACACTTATCCACATCCTCTTCCAGTCACTAAACACAGCTCGGCATAAACTCCATCGATTTGTCTGTTGTTGCCTTTCTCTCCTTTCATCGCCTCATCAGCGTTCATCTCTGTGGTGTACCGCCAGTCCGTTTCCTAATTGTATTTTTTTCAGCAGAGAAAAAAAAACCCACCAGACTGTAGTCAGTGAATTTGTCACAGGCGTGTCCCTAAACCAGCTCTCAGCGCTGCACTTATTACCTTAGCTATAGTGTGCTGCATCAGGTAATTGGATGATAAGGCTGCAGCTTGCTGTGCACTTTGCTGTCTTTTAGAGCTTAGCAACAAGTACAGTCACAGACACACGTGTGGTGAGCATCATCAGTACTTTAAATCAAACATGTTCAAATGGGTGATGATAATATGTACTATTGGTGTGTTGTAAATTACCTTCTTCCCTCCTCCCTGCCACTCACCATAGTGTTGCTTGTCATTTGGCCTCATGCTGATCTTAAACTCTGACAGGTCTGGGGTTTGTTTCTCAGCAGGTGAGTGATTCTTGGAATCATAAACTAAAGGAAGCAGCATCCTACAAGTTAACAGCATCTGATAAAAATGAGAGTATAAATTTCCATTTCCTGTTTGGTGAAAAATAATTATTTTGCAGACGTGGACGCCACAACAGTCTTGTGAGAACAGTTAGCTTTCTTCACACTACCATGAGGAAACCTCTGTGTGCTCTTCAGCAATCACCCGTCTGTAGTGAATATCATCGTTCTATAAAAGATGCTTCGGGCTTGAATGTTTTGTCCACCTTTCGAACTAAACTCAGAAATGTTTTGGAATAACTGATAAATGGATCCTCCAGTTAAGCACAGGGCTGCATATTGGGTCATTATAACACATGTGACAAATATCCTTACGCGTTTTGATCACATTCAGTCAGTGCTCCATAAATCTTACATCATTTTAACTTTTTCAGTAATTTTGGCACAAAGAACTTGACCTTCATAGCTACTCGGTCTCAGTATCTTGGTTACTATGGCGACAGGAGCATACAGAATTTTTGCATGAGGAGGGGGTGTTAATGATCAACTTCCTTTTACAGCATGACTACTTCCTAATGAGCTTTTAATGCTGTGGTGTGAACCTGGAGGGGAAGTGTGTTTGCTGTGCCACCGACTCCTGCATTCCATCTGTTTACATGGGCTCCTTGTTTAGGACCATGTGATCGTTTGAGCTCATTGACTCTTCAACCCTAATGCCTCTTTTAGGTGCATTAAGTTTGAGTGGCCACCTGTCCTTAAAGGGACACTACACGGTTTTGGTGCTCTTTACCACCCCCAAGTGTCTGTTTTAAATCACTGTAGTAAAAGCGTGTTGTTATCCCTGTAGCGTTATGGTTTTATGCTCTTTTATGAAAGAGAAACCATGCTACGTATTAATTCGGAATATTAATTTTAATAAATCAATAACCAAATTTTATATCGTTCAGAAGACTCAAAGGTTGTTTTCATCCATAAACTGCCGATAATATCTGAGTGTCTTGTGTTTCAGTTCAATGAGGAAACAAGTTTGAAGGATTAAAAGTTTTAATTCTTCAAATTAAACTAATGATTTTGAAAATTGACAAACAGGAAATAACAATCACGTTGGTAACTTTGTGGGACCATCTTTTTAACAGTTGATATGCTGTTCTGGCTCAAATAGACCTTCTGATGAATTTATGAAGATTGAGAATGTTGTGACATGAATGTGTGTGTGAGTCTGATTTTGCTTCAGGAAGAAACAGGTGTCTGAGTGAAGTGATGGTTTGGATAAACTTAGGTCTTATCAGAGAACTGCATCAAACGCTAAAAACCGTGCTCTGTCTCACCGAACTCTTGTGGACCCTCTTTCGGATCCGGGCCGTGGAGGATGTTGTGGTTCATCCAGATGACACCGGCGGCTGACAGGAGACATAGGTGTCGAACGGAACCGGTCCAGAGTTGCCCTCGGTACACGTGGATGGTAGAGCGTTTTATCGATGCGCTTTCTTAAGTTAATTCACTCAGAAATCAAAAGACTCGGTAATGAGTCTGCGTTAGAAGTTGCGATTCAGCTATTCTGCCTGGCGTGGCAGAAACAGCGTGAGGGGGGGGGGGGGGGGGGGGGTAACGAGCCAGCCGGCTCTGCCCCCCTTTCGGTTTTCAGGTCCACTCTCTTTCGTTGTCCAACACGAACTGCAAACATAAGACTCAAACTTACCAAAAACCTTTCTCTTCTCAAAGCAAACCTGTGCGTCATCAAATGTGTCTGGAGTTTACTGTGGGAAGGTGTGTGTGGGTGTGTGTGAATGTTTGTGTGCTTGAGTGTTAAGGTCAGTACCAAACATTCAACATTATCTACTTAAGTGTGGATTCATTAATCCATTATAATTACCCCAAAGCATACTAGTCATTCATTTGATTAAACACATTTATAATGAGCAAAATGATAATGGTTATTTTAACATTAAAATCAAGAAAAAGAAGTTTAAACTTTATGTTTTGACTTGGTCTGGGTACAACTCATGGAAACACGTCTTCTGGTAGACTGCAGGTGGTTGATGTTATGGTTTCCTCCCAGACTCGCTGGCGTTCAGGACTTAATCTGTGGGTGAAAGTTCTCAATGACCCAGCTTTGACCTAGCTGCGTCCAGCACCACCTTTGTGATAGAAAACCCATATTTCCTCACGTTACAGTCCCCCCTTTTTGTGACGACATGGTGGTCAAGCAGAGGCCACCTGACGTCACAACCACAATAACGTGATGTACTCGTGAAGGTAGACATCCCAGATGAAGGCAGGAACGATGAAGCGTCACTACAGGTCACGTGTAGAAGGGAGTCTATCCTGATCAGATGATTAAGGCCAAAACTGTTGCAATCATTGTAAAGTAATCCACTCAGGGAATCTTGAAAGCAGAGCTATTTCAATAGCAGTTAATTTTCATCAGCAATAATGCAAAGGTATTCAAAGAATAAGCAGCTCGTGTGCCACACGGAGCTGGGCAGGTGATGTATTCCTCAGGCGTAGTCCAGGCGAAGTCCAGCGCAGACCTCGACCCATCTCGAACCACGACCGAAGCCCCACGCGACAGAAACCAGTTGAAGGATGGTGAAGACGACCTCTCTGATGGAATGTAGTCCATACGAGCTCGGAGAAGGAGACAAAGTGAGACAGCCCACACGATAGATAGCATTTGATGCAAAACAAAGAAATCAATCAAAACCTATCTATGGGTGCCTCTGGGAAAATGTGGGTGCCTTTTGTGAATTATCTAAAGAAGAAATGTACTGCACCCTGTTCTACGTGTCATGTAAAAACGTGATGTAGAGAAAACACAAATAAAAGAAAGCAAATCCTAACTGATATGTGAAACTCAGCAGGCTGCACCAATTAAAGGCATGTATATATAAAAAAAATAATAATAATAATCATGAAAATGAAGGGCAAATTGGCTTGTGGCCCTTTAAGGGAAATAGTAACAAAATAAAATTAAATTTGTAATCAAATATAATCATGCTACACAAAGCACTAATAAAAAGATAGAGATGTAAATCAGTTCTAAAAATGTAAATCAGTAGGTTAGTAATCCCTAAAGATTTGAGTTAGTAACAGGACCCTGGCTGGAGGCAGGTAACCTGAAAAAAAAAACCAAAGGATATCACATTTGTTAAAAATTCATCCCACAAACGAGAGAATTTGTAACGGTCCACCAGTCAGTGGAAAAGAATCCGGTCAGAATAGAGTTGTTCAGTAAAGAGTTTTGAATCTGGTATTGCGGACCCACAGAGACACGAGTTTGGACGTATCTGTGGGAGCAGGCTCATAAGCGATTTGGTAATCAAACTGTTTGTATCTTGTGTTACGAACCCACAGGGAAACTTGTTTGAATTTACCTGAGGGTTCCGTACGGAACTGGAGCGAAGCTGATGGTTTAACTGTTAGATCAGAACCTGATTTTACCTGCTCAAAGTTGGGTTGCAGCTTTACGGAGGCGACTTTGTTGTGATCAGAAATAGTAGTGAACTGGAAATGCGAAACCGATGCTCGCAAAGCAGGAGGAGGCTCTCCACCCCCCTTTTGTTTCTCAAACTTATGCCGTGTCTGTGAGACAGGAGAAGCATAACAAAGAACAGTTCTTAAGCTCTTAAAAGCTTTGTTACCAAGAAGATGCACATTGTCACCTGAATCGTGCTGAAAGAGTAGGTGTTCAGATGTCCAAAGACCCGGAGGTGTTGGACTTGGAGGTTCTGAAAAGGAGTGATCCAAGGATGGTTGTGTCACGGGTGTCAAAGCAAATCTAACCATGTTTAGAATCAGATACAGACATGATGCTATCGAAAGGAACATGGTCTGTCCTGAAAACTGAAGCCAAGAATACTTTATTCCCAAGAATGATGGAGGTGCCCACACAGAATCAGAAAAACCCGGTTTAACCAGAGTAGTTACAGACTGACTAGAATTCCGCCCCGTAGAAGGTGCAGCACCTAACTCCGGGTCGGAGGTCAATGCCGTCAGCTGAATTGGTGGAAGGTCAGTGTCGATTTCTGCAATGACCCGCCCGCTCGGAGGAGGCGTTCCCCCGAGCAGCCTGAAGTCCGCCACGGAAAACTCAGTGCCACTCGGCACCCCCCTTTTGTCAGGAGGGGCCCCGAGCAGAGCATCACTGCACGCACCTACACCTCCCGGGCCGGGTGGCACCCCCGGGCCCGTGAGAGAGATGATCGCAGCAACCACCGAGCTTCCTTCAATATCGCCACTGACCACTTGACTACTGGAACCCGCAGGGTTTTCTGCGTCGTCGTGGTCACCTGTAAGAGAAATCACAGGAAAGAGAGCACAGAGGCCCGAGACTAAGTCACACCCCTGTGAAAGGAGAAAGGAATTGGCCACCGTATTAGCAGAGGTCACAAACTGAAAAGTGACAAGGTCATTCACATAAAGGTCAAGATGTCCGGGCACAAACCCCTTAAATGGCATGGTAGCTCCATCCGGAGACCACAAGTGTTTCACGGCGGCTGACGTTTCCATCACGCCCCGATAAAGAAGCTGGATTGTGCATGAGGCGGACTGACGAGTAAAACAGACCTCTGACTGAAGCGGTGGGTCACAGCCTGAAGATTTCACACCCATGCTGGAGAGATGGTCAGCCTTTAACATGGATGACAGAGGAGAAGCATTAGGAAACAAAGGGTTAATCACAACCTGTTTGTCAGAGAGGTTAACCATAGGCTCAAGAGATTTATTCAGCTTAAAAGTAGCAGAGAAAGTGTTGTTTATTTCAAACCTTGATGTTGATGGTGGGTTTTTGACCCCCTGGAAGAAATAAAAGTAAAGAAAAAGCGTTATGACTGCAAACAGCATGTTGCATGAATTCACGTCATGAATTGCAGACCAGAACCACCTCCGACCCAGTGCAGCTGGCACCGAACCGCAGCCACTAGTCCCCACTGCTCCCGACCGGCGGCACCCGCCTAAAACGGGCCCGTTCGGGCGGGCGGAGGGACCAGCGATGCTCGGCCGGTGAACAGTCTCCTGCGTCATGGCAGGTTCTGGAAGCAGAACGTCAGAGAACCTTACACCAGGTGTAACAGTGCAAGAAAGATTTTGTCGTGTCTCGTCCATCTCCCATTAAGTTCAGAGCAACTCGCGTTTTTACCTTCTGAGCCGACGTAAAACTCCGGGCAGATTCCTTAATATGTCTCACACAAACAAGGACTGTCCGTAGCCTACTTAACTTTATGACACAGGGTAAAACAAGGAATTGTTGATAGAGAAATGAATACACACAACTTCACAAGATGGAAGAAAAAGGCATGGAACCGAGCAACGGAGGCTGTGAAAGCCGACCCGTCCACCGGTCCAAAATAAAAATAAAAAATAATAAACCCTACGCTGCCGTGTTGGTATCAGATGGACAAACGTAGCAAACTGTAGATTCTACACACCGTAGCGATTTACAAGAATCACCGCCAATGCGGGTTTTGTGAGGACACAGACTGACTGTGCCAGAAATGGTTTGACAATCTAACGGGACGCGTGCCCTATTTGTCTAACTGTGGCTTGCTAGCTTAGCTCTCCGGCCAGGCCTAGCGTTCTTTGTCTGTAGCGGCCAGACTTAAATTTTCCCGATTAACAAGTAGGCATCTCGCCCCACTTTTAATACGGACTTTAAAAAGCGTACGCAATCTGAATGCAGTAACGCGTGACGGCCATGCTTCGCTTTACGACGTTTACCTAGCAATCAAGCTACGGTAGGTGTCACCGAGCATTCCGTTTAGATTCGGCTTCTATCAGTCGCCCATGCAATGGAAGAATTTTCCACAATAGCTCGCCCACAGTGTCAACACACTGAGACGACACATGAGACTACCCTCTCGCCGTACGCCTATTCAAAACAGTTGAACGCATATTAAAGTTAGATTTACAACTGCAATAACATGTTTACGAGGTCTGCATTCAGTGTGAGTCCTTCAGCTCTTGCTTCCATATGTTGAGTCTTATTTGACCCCTCTTCCGATTGGATGCTCTTTTTTTATTCGTTTTGTTTAATTAAATAAACGTTTCTTTGGAGTCTCCACTATGATGAACGTGACACAATCCTCTCTAGCTTGTATGTTCTGAAGTGTAAACATGGATTGCCATAAAGCGTTGCTGCTTCTCGTAAGATATGTGGCTTTGCAGAGTTGCAAACACAGTATTCTACCCACAAAGAGCGGTGGGGCTGAGAAACTATTCATTCATTCTGCAAAGGGTCATTTCAGCATCTACTGGCTCAACAAAAGTGTTTAAAAACAAAACAAAGTTACTTAGTGTACCTTTAGGAAAAGTTGTGCAGAGCAGGACCAAAGGCTTGTACGGTGAAACTGGAAAATGACAGTCTGGTGCAAACGTCAATTTATGTTAGTTATTTTGTTTAGACTGAGAGACCATCTAAAGGCCCAATAACCCTTTGCATGAGTGCTGGATTCAGTAGCTGATTAGACTGGGACACGTTGAGTCTAGAATATTGAATCTTTTTATCGATCCATCTAATTTCAACCGCTTATCTGGAGTCAGGTCGCGGTGGCAGTAACCCAAGCAGAGAGGCCCAGACATCCCTCTCCACAGCCACCAGGGCCAGCTCCTCTGGGGGAATCCCAAAGCGTTTCCTGGCCAGCCGACAGACATAGTCTCTCCAGCGTGTCCTGGGTCTTCCTTTAGGTCTCCTCCTAGTTGGACGTGCCTGGAAAACCTCACCAGGGAGGCGTCCAGGAAGCATAACCAGATGCCCGAGCCACCTCAACTGGCTCCTCTTGATGTGGAGGAGCAGCGGGTCTACTCCAAGCCCCTCCCGGATGACCGAGCTTCCACCCTGCAGAGAAAACTCATTTTGGCCGCTTGTATCCGGGATCTCGTTCTTTCGGTCACTACCCAAAGCTCGTGACCAAAGGTGAGGATAGGAATGTAGATCGGCCAGTAAATCGAGAACCTCACCTTCTGGTTCAGCTCTCTTCATCTCTCTTCACCATGACAGATCGGTACAACGCCTGCATCACTGCAGACGCAGCACCAGTCTGCCTTTCAATCTCACGCTCCAGTTTTCCCTCACTCGTGAACAACACCCTGAGATACTTAAAGTACTCCACTTAGGGCAGGACCTCATCCCTGACCCGGAGAAGGCATTCTACCCGTTTTCAAATCAAGATGTGACGAACCTCGTCCCTTCGGTCCGTCATCCCATCTTCCCCTGAGCTGTTGTCCCCACTGAAAAGGATCCAGCACCAGGGACAGCGCCGGGAGTGGCCTGCTCACACTCTCCAGCGCCCCAGCACCCTTTCAGGACCTCGGAGAGAGGCACGCCGGCAAAGACCGCAGCTGACCTGCATCAGCCATCAAGCAGCTCTCAGGACTTAAAAGGAGGAACGCAGCAGACAGTCGAGGAGATCCTGGATTAGCTGGAGATTCTCCTAGCTCACGGACACGTTTTGCTACCGTTACCAATCGGGTTTAAGGTTGTTTACACCGTTACCGTTTGGGTTTAAGGTTGTTGCTAAAGATCCAGGAGTAGCCTGAGATTCTCCCTCGCTCATTATTTGTTTAAGGTTTTCTACTAAGGATCCAGGATTAACCTGGGTTCCTTCTGAGCGTGTTTCACATGCCTTGCTAATGGTAAAGCCTTTTGTGGGGTGTTTGCTATATGGTTTTGACTTGATTATCCTCTTTAGAAGGATGTAGCTGACTGAATGTCAGTTTCTGATCTCGGTGGTTTTCTTTTATCCCCATAGGACTTCTGAGTTGGGGATATTTATCGTTTAGGTGGTTGTCATCTTAGTTTGGCAGAAAGCCTTTTCATAAGCAGTTAGTCTGCTTATGTTTTCAGTTTCCACCTGTGTGTGTGTGTGTGTGTGTGTGTGTGTGTATGTGTGTGTGTGTGTGTGAAACATAATGTTCTTATCAAAACCCCACCCTGCCTACAGCCTCCACAGAAACGAAACACAATTGGTACTCGTCGCCAGGCAACATTGTCCAGTATCTTTGGGACACAGAGCTGCAGGCTGAAAACACTAAAACACACACACACACACACACACACACACACACACACACACACACACACGTAGTGACCAAAAAAACCTCTTGTGATTTTCACGTTCTGGAGGGTAAGCTGAACGTGAATGGACTTTGCGATTATAGTTACAGTTTCTTTGTATTTTAAAGCAATTTAAGTTTACCTCTTCTGGTCAATAAAAGGTGTGAAGTAACACAAAGTAAAAATGTTTGGTATTTATACTTGACTGGAGTAATTATGCATCAGCTAACGTTTAACTTCTACCCCTTGCTGTCATGTTGGGTTGTTGTTTTTTGACCCACGACATGCAGAATCACACAAGAGGCAGAAGGTAAGTAAAAAATTATTTATTTTTGTTCGGTGGAGGTGTAGATGAAGGTCGGGGTTCGGGTGGTTCAGATGGAGTTCTGAAGCAGAAACAAGAGTGAATAGTTGCAGAATAGTGGGCACAAAGCGTAATGAGAGCTGGCTTACGATTTCCTGGTTGTTGGGGAAGCTTGAGAGGAGGGTAAGTCAAGGCTGGCTGAGCTGGTTGGGTGAGAGGCAGAAGCTGAGCACCGGAGTCCAAGGTGTCCAGGTTGGCAGGTGAGGGTTGGAGAGCAGGCGGTCAGGGGCGAGCGACGGGGCTGGCAGGCAGGGTTGATCCGATGAGTCTATCACTTTGATGATGGAAGTAGACTGGTGGACGAGAGGTACCTGAGGAGGTCAGAGGAAACAGGGCAGATCAGTACGAGGGAAGCGAGGTACACAGGAGACCAAAACGAGCTAGAGACAGGCAAAGAACTGGCGAGAATACAACCTAATACCGAGTATCATCCGGCACTGATGAGTTGTCCCGACACTCCTTAAATCCCCTGACCACTGATGAGCAGATCTACAGCAGCTGCTCTCCAGACACACCCACCTGCACACAGAAGGACTCGGCACAGGACAGAAGTTAACTCATCACTGGCCATGACACTTGCATTAAAAAATGTGTTACTCCTCTTTTCTTTCAGCTCATCAGTGTTTCTACAAAAAATCTACAAAGACAAAAAATGAATCCAGATAAAGTGAACTGGATTGCAGGATAATAATAATATTAAACATTTACCATTCTGTCACCCTATTGGTTTGCATCCGATCCATCACACACTATGCATGACACAACCTTGTATTACTTTTATACGTTATTGGTTTTGAAACCAGTACTTATTTTGTTTTCTGAAGTAAAAAGCTTGAATTGATGCTTCAACCTCTAGAATCAGAATCAGAAGGGTTTGAGAACCACAACGTTAGGAAACTGCTGCAGTACTTGGTGCAAGAAAAAAATCAGTGATAAGCAAAATAAGAATTAAGAAATAAACACAAAGTTATGATAAAAAAAGAGACAATAATTAGAGAAGCTAATATTATATATTGTTACTAGTAAATGTATACACTATATACTACACAGACGTATTGTAAACCTCAGTATCTATACTTCTGCCTGAGGATGGATTGTGGAAATGATGTAAGTGAATCTGGGGCTGAATCAGGAAGAACTTCTTTTATAAAAAGACTTAAATGTTCCAGTGAACAAAATTAATGAAGACATGAAACAGGAAGTTTTAGGACAATTATTCTTCATGTTCTTGTGACTAAAGAATAAAATGCCACTGAGAGGTTACTTTGCCTTTTAAATGTTCTGCTAATTAGGAGGCTGCAGCAAACAAACCAGCTGATATCTGCTGCAGGACAACGCCTCTACAGGAAGAACTCCCTCTCATCCGTTCTACACACACCAGCGGCGCCGTCGGACCACGGCTGTGACAGAAGCCCATTTAGTCTGCTGTCTAGAGGTGACAGGCTTTAGCTGTCTCCAGATACACAAAACTCATGTAGAGTGGTTGAGCAAACTCCCGCGCACCCTCCAGGACCCTCCTAAGGGGCCACCACCCCAGTCTGTCTATCCAGTGGCCCTGCCACTGATGTACAGCGGCTGACGCGATATTGCAGAGCCGCGTCAGCCAACACAGCCCCATGACATCCAGACCCTTAAGGACCTTCGGGTGGATATCATCCACCCTGGAGTCTTGCCACCAAGGAGTTTTGGAAAACCTCAGTGACCTCAGCTCCAGAGATAAGGGAGTCTAACCCAAAGTCCCCAGGCTCTGCTTCCTCACTGGAAGTGGGTGGGATTGAGGAGGTTTTTGAAGTATTCCGCCCACTGCGTAGAGGTCAGCAGCACACCGTCCCCTTATAAACAGGGTTGGTAGCACATTGCTTTCCCCTCTTGAGGTGCCGGATGGTTTACCAGAATCTACTCAAAGCATACAGAAGTCTTGTTCCATGGTCTCACCGAACTCCTCCCATGCCCGGGTTTATGCCTCTTCGACCAACCGAGCTGCATTCTGCTTGGTCTGCTGGTCCTCTGGAGTCCCACAGGGCAAAAAGACCTGACAGGACTCTTTGCTCAGCTTGACAGCATCCCTAACTGCTTGGTGTCCACCAGCGGGTTCGGGGGTTACCACCACGACAGGCACTGACGACCCTACGGCCACAGCTCCGGTCGGCCGCCTCAACAATGGAGGCACGGAAACATGGCCCACTCGAACTCAGTGTCCCCTGCCTCCTCCGGAATGTTTTGGATGTTCTGTCGGAGGTGAGAATTGAAGCTCCTTCTGACAGGAGACTCTGCCGGGTTTGACCCGCATCCTCCCCCATCATTGGAGCCAACTCACCACCAGGTAGTGG